CAGTTTAACAGAAGGAACAGATTCACTGCTTCACTCTTAAAGGGGTTGTTTTCTCTGCTCAAGACTTAACACCTTTTGGCTTTGTCTCAGTTTCTTTGCCTGCCAACTCTGATTCCTCAGCTCATGGTCTAGATGGCTCACAAGTTTCCATATTCCTATGGCTCCCTTGACTCCAACAGGTACTTAGTTCAGAACCTTAAAATGGACGAGTTGGCCCTTTATTCCTAAGGTGGCCAGTAGCGTTTTTGTCATGACATCTACCTTCCCCCAATGGCTAAGCTGTCTGAAATCCCTTCCTTATGGAAGTTCCTTTCTTAGTATGTACCCAATCTCCATTGGCACACAATGAATATAGCTTACTTAGCCAAAGAAATACAAAAAGCTTCGGTCAAGAGTTTTGAAAACAGTTCTTTAAGAGTTTCACAGTTTACCCGTTCCACAGATAGTTTAGCTCATGGCTGATAGTTTAAACATAATTATTCTCAACTGAGATCACATAGACCCGAGATTCAGTCAAGAGATAACGATTGGAACGAAGAGAAAAACACTTATATTAAATTAAAAGACAGTTTACAAAAAGAAACATAAAATGGAGAAAGATGGGTATTTGCTTGTGAGGAGTCTTGATGGTTGTCTACAGAGAAGAGAAAAGGGGTTGTCATTTAACTACAGTTACAACTTAAAATTAAACTAAGTTACTAACTACTACTACTACTAGGTGATCTTCTTCCTTCTGGACTTTAATCCCTCCAGAATCAGATGATGTTTTTGTATGAGGGTGGTCCTATTTATAGATGGAAGGAGAGTGGCAAGCTTGTAAATCCTTTTGAGCAAGTTGCTTAAATGAGGGGACAGGATGGTGGCAGCAGATTATGGAAGCTGCGCAAATTGCTGGATGGAACAAGGTTTGGTGATGATTAGCCGTAGTTTGCAGGCCTTCCCATGTTTTGCTTTTCTTTTCAACCAATGAGAACTCTTGATTCCCTGCTCTTCACGTTTCCAGCTGCTCAGTTGGTGCACCGCCTTGCTTTTTAGAAGTCTTTAACTCTATGTTACCTGCAAAGTGTACAGAAGCATTAAATGAATGGAGCAGGTGCATTAAATGCGTCTCAGTCCGTTCCCCTTTTAATATATTTTAAAGGAATACGTTACCATCCGTTCCCCCACTGTGTTTTTGTCACAAATGTGTAAAATAAGTGATTTTCATGCTGAAGTTGCTCATCAGAGGAGGGAACGTATGGTATTTTGCCATCAAAATGGGCTTAGATGGGAACAAATTTACGTCCCATCAAGTTCTCTTCCCTCTTTTCTTTTCTTTCTGTTATTTGCATTTTATTTTGTTTCTTCTATCTTTTAGTTTTTGATTTTCATAAGTAGATTTTCCTTTTCTTTCTAGTAATTATTGAGTGGTACATGGAGTAGACTTAGATAACAGTGTTTGATAGCATAGTCTGTTAGGCTCTGATCTCGATTCTTGGATTGCAATACATGTTGATTGATGTTGTGCTGTTGATTGCATGATTTGGTTGACCCTTGTGAGGTTTTGAGCCTGTATACATGGCATACATCTTCTGGCCATTCTTTCTTTCTTGTGTGTTTTTTCTCTTGATCTTTGTTCTCTAGAACTTGCTCCGGTTCTTTTTGAAACTGTATTTTTTCACTTACATGCATGAATATGATTGAGGCATTCTTTTTTTACCCACTTTAGCCAAATAGCCATCCCTTACTTTATTATCCTTTGGCGAGCTCATTTGAGCCTTTATATCCTTTGTTTCTTAAGCCACATTACAAGCCTAAGTGAAAAACCAATTAATTCCTCACCCTAAAGATTTACTGAGTATTGGTTTCACTGTGATGTTGTATTTAAGTGTGGGGGTTTGCCCGAGGCGTGCAAAAGTTTAGGTGTGGGGAGGGGGGGTGACCATCTGATTCCTTTCTGCTGTGTGTTTTGACTGTATTGATTCAAAAAAAAAACAGAAAGAAAAAGCAAAATATATATGTGTGTGTTTATTTTTATCTTTTCATTATCTTTGTTTTATTTTCTTAGTGTAGTTCTTAACGTAGGCTATTGTAGATTTCTGGGCTGTTTAACTTTCTTTTCTATATTTCATCCAAACCTTCACCTCAGCCCCATTACAACTCTGCATAAAGCCCTCTTCATTTGTGTATGCATGTGTTACTAGCAGTGGAGAAGTAGAACTTGAGCAAGCCTATGGTAGAATGATTTTCTTGAGTAGATTCGAGTGATACACTGATTACCTGATACACTTAAGAGGAAAAAAAAATCAAGAGCATCTTATAAGGAACTATTCTCTGTAATTAGCATGTGCAGTTGAAATTAGCAGGTCTTGTAATTTGAGATTAGGAAATTTTTGTCCTGATTGATTTATCTGTTGGAGACATGTGATCTTTGTGTATTTTTTGTATGCCTGGTAATTGTTAGAAAGGATTGGTTGATCTTAGTCTTTGCTTTCTGTTTTAGTTTATGTCCAGAAGTGCAAAAAGATAAGTGTGGGAAAATTCCTTAGCCATAGTTGATGCTTGTTCTTGGAAGAGTGATCGGTGCATCCTTTCTCTTTACTTTTACTCCTAAACAAGCCTTCTGTTATCCCTTGCTATCTTTTTAATCTCTGGTTTGTAGAGCAAGTCATTTGTATCAACTTTACCTTGCATAAATCAGAATTTTAAAAATCAGTAAGGGTCAAAAGTAAAAACAGAAAATAAAAGTCTAATCTTAAACTCCACAGATACTACTATTGTTGATTTTTGGTCCCCGACAACGGCGCCAAAACCTTGTTGCGAACACGACAAGTATACCGGTAGTACAAGTAATAAAATGATGAGTAGAGTATTGTTCCCACAAGGACTAATTACAAGCAATAATTTCAGCGTTTTTATCTAAGTTAGACAATTCCAAAGAGGATTTCATAGGTAACCAATATTTAATTAAAAATTCAATTAAAGATACAGACTAAAGAAATTGATTTAAAAGATAAACTTAAAATTATGAAAAAAAATGCAGTTAGGTTTACGTCACCTCTAATTCAATTCAATAATATTCTATCTCAATTGTTTCAAATAATTCTTCATTTAAGAATTAATTGGTTAAATCCTATTGTCTTATCTTTTTAACCCTTTAACCCAATCAGAATCCTAATGTCTTAGAAATTCTTTTTAGATTAAGCCTTAAGTGCGATGAATTATAAAAGTTTGCAATTCCTACAAGCATATGTCTAGATCATGCAAGAATTAGTGTCCTACCCTTGTCTAGATGAATATCCCAATATGTCTATTGTGAATCCTAACCCTCTTTATCCCTATCTAATTGGCCAAATTATATAAGAATTTAAACATGCAAATCAAGGTAAACACAAACAATTTGAGATAGTTTATTAATGAAAAGAATTAAACTAAAACAAGGATTCACGTTGGATCCATATTCCTAACTATTAAGAGAAATTAGCCAGACATATCTGATTTAAACAAAACAAGAAAAGAAATTAAATTGATGAAATGAGTAGAAGAAGAATAATGGTTGATTGCCACCGCAAAACTTTGATCTTCCTTTAATCTTTGTCTTGAGCTCTGAAAAACAGGGTTCTCCTATGGTCTCTGCTTTCTCTCCTTCAGAATATGTCAGCCTCCTCTCTGTTTTCAAGAGTTGCCTTTTAATAGTGATGGAACTATATCTTTTAATTTTCCATAAGATCTTCAATATAATCTCTCACTAGAATCTCCAATCAAATATTTAATCAAATCCTTGAAATCTTCCCTTTTATATTTAAAGGAAAACTTTCTTTAAAAATATTCAAGAGAATCTTCAATAAGATCTTCAATCAATTATATGATTCATAGATCCGAAACAAATCCCCAGTTTTCAATTTATCTTTTTATCGAGTTGAAAATTACTGCAAAATATAAGAATTATTATGAAAATATTACTGAGAATAAAATAACACTTTAATTATAATTTTCATAACTTTTAATTATTTTTAAATCAATTTCATCTACATATTAACCCTTAATACATAATAAATTGGAGACTTATCAATTTCTCCTTTTCATTTTTTGGCAAAGGATTCTTGCTTACCCAAGTAGATCAAAACTCAGGTTAAGCCAATTCAATTCCAAATCTCCTAGTCAAAGCATTATTCGTGTCCGGTAGAGGTGGCAATATGGTTGGTTTGTCCCGTCCCGCCCATACCCGTCAAAAACGGGCAAGGCGGGTTGGCCCGCCTTTGAATATGGGTTCAAAAATTCAACCCACCTTGTTTTATGATGGGTCAACCCGCCTACCCGCCATTTAAAAAATAAGAAATAATTAAAATTCAAAAATAAATTAAATTTTACAAAATTTTAATATTACTTACTTTCATTTCACACCCCCTACATTTTTTCCAATCTCAATTTTAAATATAAATTGATATTCAATTATACATTCTTTAGAAACTCATTTTTACCTGTATATATAGATAACATGTCATAAATAAAGTTTTTATTTTTAATTTTTTAGAAGAGTATTAAGATAAAAAAAAATTGAATATCACAAAAGCTTAATTACAAATAAAATACTCCCTAATAGTAAAAAAAAAAAAATCTAACCTAACAGGCCATCCTGCCTCAACTCGCTTCTAACCCATTTTGATTCACAACCCACCAGGTTGGTGGATTGAAATGTTTAACCCAACTAGTCCTTTTTGATGGATTGATGGGTTGATCTGTCGTGTTCAACTTATATTATCACCTCTAGTATCCCGTCGGTAAGTGAAATTTTGCATTGTGTAAAAAATGCTTAAATGGTGTTTGCGTGACGCTAAAATATATGTATACTTTCTTGTGTTATTGGATTTTGTACTGTACTGTATTTGTATATCAAAAAAGATAACTACATCTTGCTTCCCTCTTACCATGACCTAAACATTTTCTTAATTTCCATTTTCAATCATTTAAATGATAATTACAAAAGAGTAAACAGAAGTTGTTTAAATTTAATTTCCTATTTAGAAGTACTCCTTGTGAAAGTTGAAGCGTGTAGTGGTCTTGTGGCTCAGCTCAAGCGATAGCTTCTTGAGCTCCTTGGCCAACACCGGCATTCCGCAGTAGAACACCCCTGCAAGTTTTATGCATCATTTGCTTGCTAAAATTGTACTAGAATATTCAAGAAACAAAAAATGGAATGAGGTTTACAAGTGTTGATCAAACTACTCGTTTCTCTCTGAACCCCCTTTTAAACAGACTTATTTCTCATCTCTACCTCTGCATGTGCTCTGTATGCAAAGAGGATTTTTTGTTTGTTATAGACGACCATTTCTGCTTTAACTCTCAATTATTAGTATTTCAGTTGGAAATTATAAAAGACAATTCTTAATAACATTTTAAATTAGGAATAATTAACTATTTTACAGGTTAATGATATTCAAAGAGGGGCTAATAAGTTACTATTTATCGACTTAATTAACCATTAACTTCGAAATATTTTTCTCATTGGTTTTTATTTATTTATTTGTAATTTTTCTTCCTTTGTATGTATTTTGATTGTCACTCGTCGAATATATAACATGTCACATGTTTCTGTATTTTGTGTTTTCTGTTTACAAAAGATGCTAGAAAATTGTTTAACAAGATATTGATTTCTTTCACCACGGTCTTTGGAACACAGAGACCCAAACTTCCTTTTAAGGTAGGTTGTTTATATCAGCACCTACTTCTACATCATCCACAGTTTCAAGCAGTTCTTACACCCTCTCCCCTGTTGTCTTCATTTATCTTTCATAAAAAACATTAATGTTTCCGATTTTAAGTATATTTGTAAGTGTCCGATGTTTCTGTTTCTGTTGGAAAAAAAAATATCTTTGTTACCTTCACGCAAAAATGAATGGATCTCTTTAATATTTTTTCTTCACAATCAGGCCCAATCATTTTTATGTGTAAAAAAAAAAAAAAATCTGCAATAAAAACATAAATAATTTCCTTTATTTATGATGTTATCTAACCTATCACAGAGGACTTATATCATGTCCGCCTCATGTGAGGTATAGCATAGGCAAGTTAAAAATAATTTTGAGAAAAGAGAAGTTTAGAATATCCTTTTTGAGAAATAATTCTGCAATCTGTAGCAAGTAATTTACCTACTGTAGAATACGGATGTTTAGAGGCTATCTTAGTGAAAACTTCTTTCCAATTAGGCCTAGCGAAGTGTGTCCTTACCTGCAATTGGAAAACAATATAAAAAAATGTCATATTTGGGTGTGTGATTACTGTGAACTGAAACAGTAATACTTGTTCTATATGTTCATGACTTCAGGTACTGAAGAGCTCACCCGAGTGCCTGAGAGGATGTCAACACCATTTTTGGCATGGTTTAGTGCTTGGATCATGGTGATTAAGGTTGATCTTGCATCCCCCTCTTCATAGACACTTGTAAGATAGTTATGAAGTTCAATTTGACCCTGACTCATGGTTAAAAAAAACAGAGAACGACAGTCATTAGCAGCTTCATGATAATTGACTCTTCTTTTTCGTACGAATGATATAGTATATAGATTAACTCTTTATAGGTAGGGAGGAGACTTATTTGCAAACATCATATATTACTTTGTGGTCCATTTCTGCAACTTCGTCCATTACTCCTTTAAACCATTCAAAAGATCCAGGTTCCCTGGTAACCCAGTAGAAATAAGCATTTGTTGTCCTTTGTGATCTCTTATTTCCTCCTGGCGTCAGATTAAAAGATGTAAAACTATTGAAGCTCTCATCTGATTTGGTTGTTTCTGTGTTTGACTCCTGCACATGACCTTACAAAAATTGACAACTGAAGGTAAAAGTGGAAGCAACTTTATAAAAAGGCAGCCTGAGTATGAATGGTACCATTTGTTCATCAATCGTTCTTGTGTCATTGAGAAGATCTCTGAGAATGCTAATGAAAGGAGTTGCTCCAATTCCTAATCCTATGAGGAGCAGTACATCAAAATTTTGGTAATCTTGTGCTGGAGCTCCGTAAGGGCCATCAACTAGCAATCTCGGTTGTCTGTGTACCAAAATTCTACATTGAATAATTTATAATTTCATAATTTGGATCCATGAAAAAAATATCTGGCCAATACTTACCCTCTTTGATCCATTTGCACTAGTTCACCAAATGTTGCTCTACAATTAACCAAAGGTAGTTTGTCATCTTCGGTTAAAAGTAGCTTAAGTTCTTGCGTCCAGTCTCCTACTGTGCGAATGTGAACACTTAGGTACTCATCTCCTGGTGCTGAGGTAATGGAGAATGGATGCCTGAAATGTCGAGACATTTATTTGGATGCTCTCATTGACTATATGATTGATGATAAATTGATAATAGACCTGAGAGCTAGAACCACACTCACCACTCAAACGGAGAGATTTTGGGGCATTGTAAAAATATGTACTGTCCGCTTTTGTACTTAAATCCATTAGGCTTGGACATGATTAAGCTAAAGACATTCCCTGGTAGCACCGAAACCTGCTAGGTCAAAGTTAGGAAATTTATATGGAAAAATGTTTTTCTCATGTTATATCATCCTCATGCTATGTCTGGAAGTTGTTGAACAAAGGAGTAGAAAAGCCAAATCGGTGAAGGAAACGGAGAGATATTTTTTTCCCATTATTTAGATGCTTAAGCAAGCAAAAAGAGAGAATTTCATTCTTTATGTTTTTGGGACTTGAAATAAATCACATTTATCTGCTGAGCAGTAAAGTATAAAATAAAGATTTGTGTCTCTTCTCTTGCCCCCCTCTCTCTCTCTCTCTCTCTCTCTCTCTCTAGTGAATGCTCACAACTAAGATAAGGGAATGGAAAACGAGTGTAGTCTACAGTGGGAGTTTGTACTCACGCATATTTCTTGTACACCCTATAATTCTGACAACTAATAAATTGTTTTATGCGGCGTTTGTTACAGGAAAATTTTTTATTTGTCTTGGAAATCTCGATTTTTAAAAATATAATTTTTACATTCAGTTTGCGATAATATCTGAAAATTTAAAATTTAAAAAAATTAAGTTTCCTAAGAATCTGAAAAAATCCGTGTACCAAACGGCCCTAAGAAAACATGTTTTCTCATCAGAATCAAACGTGCCATTAAATATACTCAAATCAATCAACTTCTTAGGGACAAAAATGCTGCAGAGAAAATTTCAGTCGTAATTTTTTTTAAAAAGAAAAGGAAATGCAATTTTAAACTACACTATACTCATCCGCAACAAAAAGTAGAGAATAAAATGAGGGTTTGTTTTTATTACCTTTAGAATTTGTACTGTATAATGTGCTGATCTACGAGTTCGTAGAGTACGCTCTGCTACGTACAGCAAAAGTGGAACAGAGATATACATCCAAGTCTGGAAAAGGGGAAAAAAAAATTGTTTTCAACTTTTTTAAGTTGGTGTACTTCAGGCAACATTCACTTTTATCATGCTTATGTAGATTGTAGTTCGAATTCTTACCGTTTTCTGGTACCAGCTATGGGCTAAATACAAGAATGATCCATGGATGAAAAGCAGAACGTAGACAAGACCAAAAAGGTGGTGTGAGTACCAGAATGAATTAAAGCCCGTCAATCTGTTGAAGGGTGGAGGAAGCCTGATAGCGTTTCTCCGAAGGTGGTGAGTTGCTAGAGTAAAAGAGATAGCCATCAAAATAACCATTGAGATTCCACTAACGCCTTCAACACTGGTTAGAAGGGTTTTATATGTGGGCTTTTTATTATGGAAATCCGAAGATATAAGTGAAAATTTTTCTGGCGAAGAATTTACGAGAAGGGGGAAATCACATGCCAGATGATTGCCTGCATGAACAGCGACTCCAACAGCTATGGCAAATGCAATCATCTGTAAAAAGGACAGGGGACAAAATCAAATGTTGCCAATTTCTTAGTGCAAGTGAATTAATGAGTCAATACTAAATATTCCTGGTTGACACCTCTCCTACCTTGTGGAAATTAATGTTGTCATCAAAGGGGACAAATTTCCTGGCTCTTGTCGAACGAAGCCATGTCAATGTGTTTCGACAAACTGGTAAAAGGATGAGAGCCATGTTGAGCTTCAGTGTCTCTGCAGCACCTTTGGCTATTGGTAAGCAGTAACCCATGACTTGGAAAGTTGATCTGTTTCTATACTGGCAAAATTTCCAGGCAAAAAGGCAAGCAGTGGTAATCAACCACAATAACAAAATCCATCCCCTTCTCCAATATTCTAATGCAAGACATTGGAGTGTCCTGCATAATCTTTGTATCTCATTTCTTGGCCTCAAAGCGGTTATATTTTGACTCCAGCTTACACTTGTGGGACTGAGTTGTCCGCTGTAGTTCATGTATCTATCCTTTTGCAGTAATAACATTTCGAGCTGCCACAGCTGAGTAAAGAGGGAAAAAAAAAAATATAGGATCAAGAAATCGTAGCGAAATTTGTAATTTATACGCAAACAAATCTATAATCTCCAAAATTTGGATCACACGAAACAATAGGTAGTTATTTTATTTTATTTTAATGTAATTGTTTGAAGTTTCAAATTATTCTCATTTCCCTAATTTTTCCCACTCTTACCTCGATATAACCCAGGTTTTCTGGATCCAATTCTTCCATGATTAATGCAGCGTATCCTTCAGCTTGTTCTTTTAGCTTCGATAGATTGTTTGCAGAAGCACTGAGCATTATGAGCTGTTGAATAAAATTGAAAACAGAGGATATGATCAAAGCATGATATAATTACTATGATATAATTACTTTGAGTATCACGTCAGCAATAAGAAAAGTAATAACGTAGAATCGTCAAAGGTCTTATTTTTCAACATTTTTTTTTTTTATTTCCCTTTTCTTTCTTCCCTTATGAATATAATAATATGCATTTAATTTAATCAGTCTAGACTCTAGATGAATGTAGCTACAATATAAACTCATGTAGTTTTCCTTAAAATGAAAATAATTCTCTTGAATCTATCAAATAATTTTTATTTATTTTACTTTCATCTACAAAATATATATTTAATTTTACAAGTTATTTTATGCATACAACAATATGTATATCTCAATATATATATATATATAGAGAGAAATATTATATTTACAAACTTTTTGTTTACAAACTCTTACAAACTACACTAAGTATGATCAGTCAGTGCATGACTGATCATACTTAATGTAATTTGTAAAAAAAATTTGTAAATGGATCCTTTCACAAACATATATATAGGGCTTATCGTTTCTCAAGTTGCTTGAGATAACTTTATCTCCAGTTACTAAATCATAATCGTACAAAAATGGATAAAGGGTGATGAAGGAAGAGAAATAAAAAGGGAATCATAACAATTCAAAGTTGAATCAATTAATATAAAGAAATAAATAAACAAAACAACGTAGTTTTTGGCTATACGAAGATAAATATATCTCAAGCTGTTTGAGAAATATTTTTCTCATATATATGGCTTATCCTTTCTCAAGCTGCAGCTTGAGATGATTTTATCTCCAGCTACTAAATCATAACCGTACAAAAATGGATCAATGGTGATAATTGAAGAAAGAGAAAGACAATCATAATCATTCAAATGTGAATCAATTAATATAAGAAAATAAATAAACAAAACGACGTAATTTTGATAACAGAAGTTGCTGTAATTCGCAGCTTGATGATATATCAAATTGGGTCTATTATATAGACCAAGATTTACAATTGGTTACATCAGGAAATCAGCTAAACTTAAGGAACAGAAAGCATAAATCAAGCTAATCTATTTATATCAGGAAATCAGCTAAACTTAAGGAACAGAAAGCATAAATCAAGCTAATCTATTTACATCAGGAAATCAGCTAAAACTAAGGAACAGAAAGCATAAATCAAGCTAATCTATTTTAATATACAAGGTAACAAACCGTGATAGTTACAATCAGGATCCTAACAAATTAATGCTACTCTAATACTCCCCCTCAAGGTGGAGCATGGAGGGAGGAGATGCCCAACTTGGAAGTCAAAAAATCGAATTGTTTGGATCCAAGTGCTTTGGTCATAATATCTGCGGGTTGAGAACTAGTGGGGATATGTTGAGTAGAAATAGTCTTGCTGAGAAGATAGTCCCGAACAAAATGGCAATCTAACTCGATATGCTTGGTACGCTCATGGAACACTGGATTAGAAGCAATATGAATAGCAGACTGACTGTCACAAAACAGTTGCATAGGGGCTGCATGAGGAATATCAAGAGAGCTGAGAAAAGACTTTAACCAAATAAGCTCAGAAGTCGCAGCTGCCATGGCACGGTATTCAGCTTCAGCAGAGGAGCGGGATATTGTGTTTTGCTTCTTGGTTTTCCAAGAAATAGGAGAATGTCCAAGAGTAACAAAATAACCAGTGACTGATTTTCGAGTCAAGGGACAACTAGCCCAATCCGAATCACAATAGGCACGAAGAAGAAGATCACTGTCAGATCGAAGAAGGAGTCCTTGGCCAGGATTGGACTTAATGTACCGAAGAACACGAATAGCCGCATCGTAATGTATCTGCATAGGATGCTGCAAAAACTGAGAAAGTGTGTGAACTGCATAACTAAGTTCTGGTCGTGTAATCGTGAGATATACAAGACGGCCAACAATACGTCTATAACGTTTAGGATCATCAAACGGAGGTCCTTCAGCAAGAGCAAGCTTGTGATTGGGATCCATAGGATAAGCAACCGGTTTACAACTTTGAAGTCCACATTCCTTAAGAATATCCAAAGCAAATTTGCGTTGAGTAAGAAACAAACCGGTCTTGCTTCGAGCAAATTCAATGCCAAGAAAATACTTGAGGGGACCAAGATCTTTGATTTTAAACCAGGTTTGTAAATGAGCTTTGACACGGTCACAGAGAGAAGGATCACTACCTGCCAACAAAATATCATCTACATAGACAAGTATAGCAACATAATGGGAACCAGTCGAGTAAGTGAACAACGTATAATCAGCACGAGACTGAACAAAGCCGAAACTGAGGAGAGAACTACGAAGCTTAGCAAACCAATTTCGTGGGGATTGCTTGAGACCATAAAGTGAACGTTGAAGCTTACAGGCGTGACCAGACTTGGTTTGGGAGAAACCGGGAGGAAAACGCATAAAGACTTCTTCATCCAAATCGCCATGGAGAAAGGCATTTTGAACATCCAGCTGAAAAATGCTCCATTTTCGAGCTACAGCTACAGATAAAAATGTACGCACACTTGTCATTTTAGCCACCGGTGCAAAAGTCTCAGTGTAATCTTCTCCTTCGATCTGATTGTTCCCAGCAATAACCAGACGCGCTTTATAGCGTTCAATGGTTCCATCAGAATTGTACTTGATGCGGTACACCCACTTACATGGAATAGCTTTCTTACCAGAAGGGAGAGGTTGAATTTGCCAAGTATGATTGGCTTCCAATGCATCAATTTCGGCTTGCATGGCTTTCTGCCAATGAGGATATTGCATAGCCTCTTTAAATGATTTGGGTTCCAGGTTACTATCCATGGCGGCAAGAAAAATCTGATGGTGCGAAGAAAATAATGCATTAGAAACATAATGATCAATGGAATATTGAATACCTGAGTCGATTGGAGAAGTGGAGAGACGAGGAAAGGGTGTAGTCATTGTGTTGCATACATAATCCTTTAAATGAGATGGGGGACGTCTGGCACGCTGTTCACGAATATCTGCCACAGATGCAGTGTTGGGTTCTGTCAACGGAACCGGTGAACCAGGGACATCCGTGGATGAAGTAATAGAACCCGGAACTGGGGAGGACGAACTCCCCCTGTCATCAAGCTCCGCTGTGGGAGTATCAATAGCAGTAACAGGTGCCACATCATAATCGGTGAAGACAGCTTGTGGTGACGGTACATGGACAGAAGGTGCAGATGAAGTTGCAGCCAATGGAAAAATAGTTTCATGAAATAAAACATCACGAGAAACAAATATTTCATGAGTGGAGATATCCATGACCTTCCATCCTTTTTTGTTGAAAGGGTAGCCAACAAACACACACTTACGGGAGCGAGGAGCGAACTTGTCATGTGGTTTGGGTAAAACAGTAGTGTAACATAAACTCCCAAAGACCCGTAAGTGATCATACTTTGGTGGAGTGCCATGCAAAACTTCATAGGGACACTGACCACCAAGGAGTGGAGTCGGTGTCCTGTTGATGAGGTGAGCAGCGGTCAAGATGCATTCTCCCCAAAGAGATATAGGTAAGTGACCATCAAAACGCAAAGCACGAGCCACGTTGAGGATGTGACGATGACGACGTTCAACGCGTCCATTTTGCTGTGGGGTGTAAGTGCATGATAATTGATGATGAATACCGTAGGATGAGAGAGCCTCTTGGACTACAGATGACAAAAATTCAGTCCCATTATCACTCTGAATTCGCTTAACAGATGCATCATATTGGGTGCGAACCAAGTGGAGAAACCGAAGTAAACATGTGGAAGTTTCAGTTTTATTGCGCATCAAAAAAATCCAAACATGTCTACTAAAATCATCGACTACAGTTAAAAAATAGCGGGCACCAGTTGTAGATGCCATATGATATGGCCCCCATATATCACAGTGAAGTAAATCAAAAGGATGTAAACAACGTTTATTATTAATAGGAAAAGGACTTCGTGGTTGTTTGGCTTTACAACAAACGTCACAAGGAGCCAAATTGTTTGCATTGGAAATAAAAGGTAACAAAGATAAATAACGGGAAGATGGATGTCCTAGACAACGATGCCATAGTGCTGCAGAATCTGACGTACTGGCAACATGAGCAGAAGCTGATGATGCACACAATATATACACCCCTTCTCGTTCAACACCCGTTCCAATCGTCCTCTTCTGCTTTAGGTCCTGTATCAAACAAACAGAATTAACAAACAATGCCAAGCAAGACTGGCGCAGAAGCTGAGATACAGAAATCAAATTACAAGCCAATGAAGGGACATAAAGAACATTGGAGAGATGAAGAGAAGAGCCCAAAGTAATGCTGCCACATTGCGTAGCAATATCATGAACTCCATTCGGCAGTCCCACAGAACAAGGAGAAATAGAATGCACATTGGATAGATAGGAGAGTGTGCCCGTCATGTGTTGGGATGCACCACTGTCGATGATCCAAGATGGGTGTAAAATCTTACCCGTAAGTTTATCAACTGGAGGGGCAGAAGAGACAGCCAAGGACATGAGATGTTGTAGAACTTCTGGTGTAAAATCTGCCATGGAGATGGATGCTGATGACGGCTCAGAAGGAACCGAAGGCAGAGAAGTATGAGCAGCCCAATTTTCATAATTGGATTGTCCACGGAGGATGACCGTGGTGAGAACAGCACCAGGATTGTCGGATGGGTGCAGGTAAAAGGGTGACTTAGAATCAGAAACCTTGAAGGTTTTAGGTGCGGAAGTCATGATGAAAAAAAAAATGAAGGCTTGTTGATCGTCAAGCTCTTGATACCATAACAGAAGTTGCTGTAATTCGCAGCTTGATGATATATCAAATTGGGTCTATTATATAGACCAAGATTTACAATTGGTTACATCAGGAAATCAGCTAAACTTAAGGAACAGAAAGCATAAATCAAGCTAATCTATTTACATCAGGAAATCAGCTAAACTTAAGGAACAGAAAGCATAAATCAAGCTAATCTATTTACATCAGGAAATCAGCTAAAACTAAGGAACAGAAAGCATAAATCAAGCTAATCTATTTTAATATACAAGGTAACAAACCGTGATAGTTACAATCAGGATCCTAACAAATTAATGCTACTCTAATATTTGAAGTGACCGAAGATAAATATATCTCAAGCAACTTGAAAAATATTTTTCTCATATATATATATATATATATATATATATATATATATATATATATATATATATATGACTTTCTAAAAAATTTTATATGCATATAAATATAATGAAATAATGAACCAAACATCCAACTATCATTTATTTTCATTCATGTCAAATAAGAATATTCATTGAGTTGATGTCAAATATGGAAAGTATAAGTTGATATATTTTTAAGTAACATTTTGCGGCTTACGTTCTTTGTTGTTTTCAGAAGTTTGTTCGTAACTGTTTCCAGAACTCTCGTTTTTTTCAATGCATGTCACCAGATGCTAGTGCAGAGACTGTAGAGGACTAATCCTTGCTTTATTTTATCGAGTAAAATTTACATTTATTTTCGTTAGCATCTTAAATTTTACCTCTTGTACTTCCTCGCTAGTAATTCTTCCATCTTCGTTACTGTCTGCCCTGAAACAAATAGAATTTTTAATTTAAAATTGGAAGAACAATGTCAAATTTACAATGACTTATCCTAATATGCAAGGGTATGTTTGGTTTCAGTGAAAATTTTAGATATAAATTTTATATGAAAAGTAATATCTCATCCTTATATTTTACATTAAGATTTTAGTAAATATCAAATTGATTTTAACTAATTTTACTTAATTTTTTTCTTTAAATTAAGAAATGGAAAAAATCAAAATTAATATACTCTCCAAATGTGGGAATAAATAATGTTGCAATGACAACTGCACAAGATTCTATAAACGACTTTTTAAAATTCTTTTTACATGATGTCTTGATGCTGTTAGTGAAATGGGAGGTTGTAGGTTAAAGTATATGTAAAGCAGTATGTATGAGATTCAATTATAAAATCAAATCGTTCGCAAACGAATTTATACTGACACTTGAACTATGATTCGTAAGCTGATTTACTTGAATTCAAGTGATTATTTCTTTATGAATTTGAATTATCTCCTTTTACTCAACAATAGGACAAGTCCTGTTCTAGATGACTTTCTTAAAATTCTTATTATTAATTCACTTAAAATTATATGTATGTTTATATGTTTAAGTAAATACAAACATCGGGAACTACCAAAAATAAAATAAAATACAAACATCGGGAAACAATTATCCAAAAACATGTACAAGTGAAACCCCTAAAAGAGACAAAGAAACAAACACTAACAAATATAGTGAATCTCACCAACAAATTAAATATTGGAACACATATCTTAAATTTTATACAAAATAATATTTTGATTTTGTAATAAAATATTGAAGTTAAAATATATTTTCGTCCTTGTACATTAGAATAGTTTTAATTTAATTTAATTTTTCTTTACATTTTGCTGTATTATAACTCTAACAAATAATTATATAATACCAACATACGATAACGACCAAATTAAAAACAATTATCATTATTACCAAAAAAAAACAATTATCATAACGGCACTAAATATAAAAATAATTTTGGTATAATAATTAAATTAAAAATAACTATTGAGTATAAGGTCACTGAAAAAGACATATTTGTTTCTTAATAATTTTAAATAAAATGCACCGCGATCACAGAGAGCAACCAAGAACTTACATGTCAAAGAAAATCTGAAGGCGAGCATCAAAGCTCTGATCCGAAATTTGCAACCAGAAGTGATGCAGCTCTTCTTTGGTTATGTTGTTCACTTTCCGTTCCCTCCTTCGAGCTAATGCATCAAATATACCCACCGCAAATTCCTTTGAATCCTCCATTCCTTTCATTAATCAATTTAGCACAAATATAATTATTTGAGTGAAATTGTATTTTTATCTTAATTTGAATATGTATATCTCGTATAAAATTTAAATTATAGTAGTTTCGTAACAACTGATTTTAGAGTTAAAATATTTGTTATTTGTTCCCAAAAAAAAAAAAAAAAAAAAAAAAAAAAACCAAATTTACACTTATGACGTATTTGGGAATTATTTTTTCCCCATCAATGAAAACTTTTTTTATTCCCCTTAAAAAAGATATTTTGTATAAATAATGTGTTTGTTAAAAGTGGAAAAAATTTACTATAATAGTAAATCACTCACTTTACACATCAAAAAGACATTTTTAAAACTTTCTTTTTAAACATTTTGATTATAATTATATTGATTATTTAGTAGGTGTGATTTCTTTGTCAAACTCGTTCCACCACTCTACATAATCTAAATAAATTATTTTATTTTTGCATAAAAGATAGCTTTTAAAAATAATTTTTCAATAAACGAAATCATACATAAAATTGATTTTACCATAATTAATTTAAAAAAAAAATCAATTATACATAAAATCAGTTATTCTTGCACGTAAGAAACCAAACATATATTCAAGTGTGAGTGAGGTTAATTTTCATGTACCAAAACTGCTTCTATAATCTTAATTATTTTCTTGGCATCTTAATTATTTTCTTGGCATCTTAATTATTTTCTCGGCATCCAAACAAGACGTTACGTACCAATGCATTCACCGAAGTCCTCTCTAGCGAGCAAGCCATGCTTAGCCAACAACCCGAACCTCTCTTCCACCTTTCTCCATAACTCTTCACTCGCTTCGCTCGACTTGCTTATGAATCTCAAACCTTTCAGAGCTCTTTGCGCGCTCGATCGCGTCCGTTCAAGCTTCGCGCGCATTCTCCGAGCATTTCGCGCTGTCACCACCGGATCTTCGACGGTGGCGACACTCTCCGACGACGCTGAAGTCCGCGACGACAACGACCGCAGCCACGGGAACTTCCTCCGAATCCTCGACGTAATCGAGAGGCTCCTCGAGACGACGGCGCCGCCTTCGTCTCCGGCGACGGGACTCGACAACGGCGATGCGTTGGGAGCGGAAGACGCGGCGGCGGCGGCGAAGGCTACAGGTGCAACGTTGCGAAGCACGACGGCGTCGTCTTCGAGCTCCAAGGTTATCTCAACGAGCTCCCGGTGGTGATTTCTCCGGAGGTCGTTGAGAAACACCGGCAACATAGAGCCGTAGGCATGCCCTCCCGACTCCGGCGACGAGGTTCCGATGTTTTCCGGCAAGTCGAGTTCGTCGGTGCTGCACCTCCCAAACGACGACGTTCTCATCGAAAGCTTGTGAGCTGGCAATGTTGTTTCTTTTTTTAATTAATTCTTCTCGTAGCGAATTCTTCTTTCTCTCTCTAAAATGCGGGATGCAGAGAGAGAGAGAGAGAGAGTAGAAAGAGGCTAGAGAGAGAGTTTTTGGTTCACACGTTTGGACGTGAAGGTCTGTATAAAAAGAAAGGCAAGGAAAGATTGGAAAACAAGACAAACACCTCTCAACGAATTTGCCCACACGATTTCCACGCCAATGTGGTCTTGCCGCACCTACAAGAGTAGTTGAGAAATGAGATCTTTAATTTCTGCATTCTTTTTTTATTTAACTAAAAAACCGAAGAACATACTCTATGTATATTACTTATATTAATATATTGCTTAATCAAGTTGTATGTCTAATAAAATTAGAAGGAGGAGTATCTTTGTGGCATTTTATATTTATTTACTACTTATTCAACTATTATCTCGAAAGCTTAGCTTAAAATTTTAATTATAAATATAGAGTGCTGTGTAAGTCTTTGTCAAAATCATAGTTTGGTATGATACACAATACGATTCATACGATACGATTCACAAGATTAACAATGCATATTGAAGGGTGTTATATTTACAATATCTTTTTGCTTATAATCAAATCTTAACCATTGAGTTTCGTCAATAATTTTTAGAAATTAATAATTAAATAATAAGTGTGACTCAATAAATTATAACTATCAAATTGACAGAAAATAACAATTTAAGATTTGGTTGTAATCGAAAAGAGATTGTAAATATAACTCCGTCAAATTGGCGGAAATGACCAATTTAAAATTTGGTTGTAAGAGGTTATAATCAAAAAGAGATTATATATATATATATATATATATATATATATATATATATATATGAGTTTGTTATTTGTCATTTTAAATGACATAAGTTATGTCATTTTAGGAGAGAGATAGACACAAGAAATGAAAATCATAGGAGAGAAAGTGGTTGACTTTTTTTTTTAATTTAAATTTAAATAAAAAATATTTTTTTTGTTTATCTCTTTTAAAATGACATAACTTTATGCCATTTAAAATGACAAATATTTTTCCCTATATATATATATATATATATATATATTTATATATATTTATATATGATAAAATCATATCTAAATTTACTACATGTGTAACAATGACAGGTGTATGATTATGATTCCCCACGTTTAATGATCTCAGATTTTTATATGGTTATAATTCCACACATTAAATGTTTTAATATATATATATATATATATATATGAAAAATTTGTTACTGTTGCACCTCTGCAGAAAAATCGAATCCTCTGTGTATATATATATATAGAGAGATAGTTCACATTAGAGAGAGATGCATGTAAAGGAAAGGAATTGTTTAATAAATGGGTAGTTAAAATTTGGTTGCCGTGATGGAGACGAGTACATGAATGATGGATAGTGAACAGGTCATGGTGCAAGGTAGGTCAAGGCGACCTAGAATTGGATTAACCAAAGCTGAATTAAGGTAAGTAATAATTACGGACAAGGTGCATGTACAATAGATTAAAATATTTCCCCTTTGAAAACAATATTGACAACTCCGGTCACTCGGATGGAACTAGAAATTTTCTTTGAAGTTGTTAAAAGCTACTAGGTTTGAGAAGTTTTACATGTAACAATATTCAATATTTGACATTGGTTGAATATCTAAATTCCACAATTGCAGATGCTTCGATATATCATGTTCATTATGCTTTAATTGGGTTTTTCTTGTTAGATTTCTTCGATGCTGCACAAAGCCCAATATTATTTTGCGGGGCTCAAGAAATCCTGATTCTTATTTTTGATATTCTAGAACCTTCCCTTCTCTCCTTTATAAGCATTAGTTGAGGGTTGGAGATATTGTTTAGACATTTTTGAGAGGATAGCTTCAAGCTTTGTATTGAAGAGCACCTCTAGAGATAAGTTTGAGTGAGACCTCTTTAAGAAAATTTGAGTGAATACCACCATTGTAGGTGAGGTTTGAGTATACCACCATTATTGGTGAAGTTTGATATCTTGTACCCATTATTCACATGTAGAAGTTTGATTCTAGAGTAGTGTCCCGTGGATTTTACTTCTTCACATCGGAAAAGATTTCTCATGTTAAAAGATTGTTATATTTCTCTTTTTCTCTCTCCTGCGTTTTTATTTTCGCTGCGTATAGGCTGACATAGTGATTCAGGCCGAGCTCTAATTGCCGAGCTCCGCACTCGACGTTTGACTTCTGCAACACTTTCGCATAACCTTGAGGGAATCGAGTTTCCAACAGTGGTATCAAAGTCCGAGTTCGAAAGGTTCGGAAAGAGACGAAATGGAGACAAGTGGCTCTGCCCATAACGAAGACATGTCCAAGCTGACTGAAGACAACTTCATATACTAGAGACTGATGATGGAAGACCACTTGTACTATAAAGACCTATATGAGCCCATCCTCAGTGAGACCAGACCTGAAGGAAAGAACGATAGGGAATGGGAAGTTCTGAATCAGAAAGCGGTAGCCATGATCAGGAAATACATTGATAAAATCCTATTTTGAGCATGTGTCTGAGTTCACAAATGCGTATGAGTTGTGGATGAAGTTGTAGTCCATGATTTAGAAGAAGACTTTGAGAAACAAAGCATACTAGGTTCGTCGACTTGTGAAGCTAGAATACAAAGACGTCATGAGCATGATAGAGCACCTCGTCACCTATAAAGGTATTGTGAATCAGCTTTCCAAAGCCGAGATAAAGATCAATGATGAGATGCAGGCTTTACTGCTGTTGAGCTCTCTGCCAAAGAGCTGGGATACTCTGGTAGTCACTTTGAGCAATTCGTCTCCTGATGGAAAGTTGGCTATGGACGACGTAACAGATAGCCTTCTAAACAAAGAGTCAATGAGAAGAGATCAGGGTGCAGCTAGCACATCTGAGGCAAATATGGCTAAGAATAGAGGAAGGTCTGACGCTCGGGTTCGAAGTAAAAGCCAAGATCGAGATGAACGAGATAAGTCTAGAGGTTGATCTAGGCCGAGATATGAATTAAAGTGCTTCTATTGTGGGAAGTTGGGCCACAAGAAGACTAACTGTCAAACTCTGCAGAAAGATGAGAAGAACAACACTATGAAGCCAGATCAAATCATTCTGAAGAAGAAAGAAGACAAGAGCACCATTGCAGTGGTTGCCAATGCTGATTCTGATATTCCTCCTTAGAGAGGATACTTTTATGAATCTTGCATAAAATGACTGTACCTGGATCGTTGACTCTAATGCCTCCTTTCACGTCACCCATACAAAGGTTTCTTCTCTTACAGAGATGGTGACTTTGGAGTCGTGAAGATGGAAAATCAGGTGACCAATAAGATTGTCGGTGTCAGTGATGTAACCCTAACCACGGATGTCAGGTGTCGACTTATTATGAAAAACGTAAGGTATGTTCGTGACATGCAACTAAACCTAATCTCGGTAGATAAGATTGATGATACCGAGTTAGTGAACTACTTCGGAGGATGCAGATTGAAATTGGCCAAGGGAAACTTGGTAATGGCCCGAGGTAAGAAGGAAGGTTCCTTGTATGTGATGCAAGGTAAAACTAATAGTGGAGAAGCCAACTCTATCCAAGATGAACGTAGCATGGAGCTGTGGCACAAACGCCTCAACCACATGAGCGAGAAAAAAGCTTCAAATTCTGAATAAAAAAGGATCATTAACTCGGTAGAAGGGCCAGGTGCTGGAGAGCTTCATGTACTGCCTGGCTGGAATTCGACTTGAAAAGATGCCCTAAGAATCTTCAGCTGAATGGAGTTGCTGAAAGGATGAAGCGAACTGTAGAAGAAAGGGTCCAAGGTATGCTATCCCATGTCGAGTTGTCGAAATCATTTTGGGGAGAGGCAGTTCGAACTGTTGTTAACTTGGTCAACCTCTCACCATCACGGCCACTTGAAAGAGAAATTCCAGAGGAAGTATGAACAGGTCAGAAAGCAGCCTATGATCACCTGAAGGTGTTTGGATGCCAACCTTTCGTTCATATTCCTAAAGATGAGAGTGTGAAGCTCTATGCAAAGATAAAAAGAACACATTTATCTCGGTTCACCGAGATGTGTGTTCGATTCCGACTTTGGGATCCAATTAAAATGAAGATAGTGAGAAGTTGAGATGTTATCTTTCATGAGAATAAGACTATTCAAGACATCTTAAAGCCCAAAGTTTGAGTTGCTATCCAAAGTGAAGAACTTGACCCTCCTATCCAAGCTGAAGGAGCGAAAAAGTCAAGAAAATGAAGAAAATGTTAAAAATGAACAAGTTGATGAGAATCGAGATGAAGAGGTGTGAGATACTGAGATTTGAGATGGGAATGAAGAATCGTATCTTTAAACTGATGTGCAAACAATACATTCTAATAGAGTGAGACGACCTTCTACGAGGTACCCTCTTGATGAATACATTGTCGTTGCTAAGAGATGGTGAACCACTAAGCTATGACGAGCTCAGAAAAGAAAGAATGAGAGAAGGCAATGTAGGACGAGATAAAGTCTCTGTACGAGAATCAGACTTATGAGTTGACCAAGCTACCTCAAGGAAGACGAGCTCTGAAAAATAAATGGGTGTATAAAATTACGCATGAAGAAAGCGGCCAGAAGCCGAGATACAAGGTCAGGATTATGGTGAAAGGCTGCAATCAAAAGAAAGGAGTTGATTTTGAGGAGATTTTCTCTCCTGTTGTGTAGATGACTTCGGTCTGAATCATGCTAGTCATGGCGGCATCGATGGACTTTGAAGTAGAGCAAATGGATGCGAAGATGACATTCCTTCACGAAGACCTAGAAGAAGAGATATATATGGAGAAACCTGAAGAGTTCTGAGCTCCAAGACAAAAAGATTTGGTATGCCGATTGAAGAA